CTCTTCACTGCTTCTTGGCCTCCTTTCTTCTCAACAAAAAAAGAGGCCCAGCCTCTTTTGTCCATCTTTCCTATTCCTCACACCCAGCACGTTAATGAATGCCTGGGCGTATAAACGCCTCCACACAGTGTGTCCAAATAAGTGAGTGCTCACCTTTTTCTTCCATCTTCACCACCGGAGATAACATGAGCACTTCTTCTGTGCTTACTGTAACAGGAACTAAGTAAGTACTAAGTTAAGTGCATATACAAAACTGTTTTACAGATGAGGAAACTCAGCCTCAGAGACGTTGATTTGTCCAAGGTCAGATAGCTAGGAAGTGGGGGTGCTTCAGAACCCATTTTCTAACTCCTAAAAAACTAGCTCTTTTTCACAGCCAGAGAACTATTTCGTAGCTGCATCTTTCAAACGTGACTTTTGGTTGTCCTGCTCCGAGAGTCTGCGGAAGCAACACACATGCATGGTGGTTTGTTGGTGCAGCAGCAACAACAAACTCAACATTTTTCCTGTAAGTGGTAACTACATCATCGAAAAGTCCATTATACCTCATCTATGCCCTTGGAATATTTTTAAAGCTGTGTTTAGTTTCATGCTACTAGAAGAAATAGAGCAAACCACAAAGAGAACAGCCTTTAATTTTCCCTTGCTTGCTCATTCCTGGAGTAGAAAGGGGGAAAACTTGTACACTGAAGTCTCCTTTGTTGGTGCCACTGCTGTTGCTTGAGCCGGGCACACCTGTGCTCTGTGCTAACAAAGCTGAGACAGGGCCGTAAGGAAGACAAGGAAAAGCATGGAGTGGGGAGATGCCTTCGGAGAAAACAAATGGACAGTGATCTGGGATGTGAATTTCTGTATTTGTTACTCGAGAGAAGGTTCCAAGAGCTTAACTGCTGCTTTAAAAAATAATGACAGGGTCCCTGGTTCAGTCGGCAGAGCATGTGACTCTTGACCTTGGGGTCGTGAGTTCAAGCCCTACATTGGGCACAGAGATTACTTTAAAAACAAAAACAAAAACAAAAAAACCCTCACTAGCTTGTTTTATTAAAAAAAAAAAAAAAGGAATGATCAGAGTACAGTGAGAATGTGAGAATGTGAAGGATCTCACAGGGAGAATGGTGAAGGTTTAGGTGATAATCACTGCATATTAAGTTTGTTTTTCAGAATATAGCCACGCCCCCCCCATTGAAAGAGGGCCAATCATTTTAGTCCAGGTTTCCTGAGCTTTACACAAGTACTTCTCAGCAGCGTACACTGTTCAAACAGAGTATGTGGACACAGCCGCTTTCTGGAATATGCAAGTCTGGTCTCCTTTAGCACAATTAGCACCTCCCATCTCCCGCCTTTCTCATAGGAAATCTGTAGATAGAGACAAGAGTAGGTATCAGAACCAAGATTATCTGCGTTCTAGGCACACAAGGAGGCATTACAATAACAACTTGTTGGTGAGAAGTAAAAATTCAGTGGCATTTGAAAATATTTATAAATAAAGATCTTCTATAAAGTGACACGACTAGTGCTTTGCAGGGTCAGAAGGGCAGGCCAGCTTCCTAACAATATTCTAAGAGAGTGTATAAAAGCTATTAGTTATTAGTCTGCCCCAGGACAGCACTTTGTATCCATGATGTCCAACCTTCACAACATTGTGCTCTCCATTTACTAAAGTCACACTGCTAAATGCAGGCCCTTCTGACTCTCAAATCCATGCTGTGCAGGTACAGACCAAATCCTGTTAAGAAAGTTCATCAGGGACTGGTATGTTATTCCTCACAATACTATACAATATAAAAAGAACCAATTATTTGCTAGGAACAGTGAGCTGGGAAGTGGCAATGTATGCAATTGAGAGTTTCTCCGTTAAGGGTGAAAAAAAAACAATCATTAAAAATGTGTATTCTGTAAAAACATTATGAGCATGTCTGCACTGTGTAATAAATGTTAATCAGGTTAACTACCCCCCATTTCTTTTTTATTCTAAATTGATAGTCCTTTCCTTTTCTTCCTTTATTCTTCTAGTTAAGTGTATATCCTAAGTATACTTTGTACATTTTCTATGTGAAATTTCAATACTAATTATGAAGTACCAAACAAAAAGTGGCAGGGGCATGTCAGTCTGTCTGCATGTCACAAATAAGCCAGAAAACCACTACAGACCAATGATGATGCATACGTTTCTGGTGGCAGTGATAGCTGAGACGTTCAACACGGAGTCCACTTGGAAAACGTCCATCAGTGCCAAGGCTACGGAAGAAAATATTAAAACAGGACACCAAACCATTTTTCCCCTTCCCACTGAGTGTTTATTTTATAGCATTTGCATCAGGTAATCAACTGAAACACTTCAACAACAGAAAGCTGGCAGAATGTTAAGGAAAAGGAGTGATTATCTCTCCAACAGATGTGACAAAATGGTTTCAAGTTGGAAACAGTATTGCATAAATGAATCAACTGAATGGGGGAGGAGGGAGGAGAGAGGGAGAGCTGAGACAGAGGAAGGAGTGAGCATCTTCCAACATGGACTGTGAGGGGGGAAAGGCACTGTGTAGCTGTCTGTAGTATTCATAAAATAAAAGTCAAAATAGACAACCCATGTTTCTCAAAATTACATTCAACACTGCTTTAGAGCTGCTCACATAACTGACTCTCAACAGAAAGCTGGGGAAGCTGTCTAAAAAATCAGATAGACAGCACCAGTGGGTCTAAATCACAGGCTCACCAGTAATGTGTTTTAAAGAGATCGTCACCATCAGGGTCCTTCTATAAATAGTACTGCAAAGGTCACAAAGCTGCATGAACTTAAATTATAGGATAAATCTGACTAACTGATAGCCTATTTCAATCTCCAAAATTCCCACTGCGGGAAATCAGAAAGTAAGCTCCACTCCAGAGGAGCTGAATTGGCAGTGCATTTGAAACAGGGATGCTCTTCCCTCAGAAGGCTGCCTGAGCAGCAGTCTGGTTGGCAGGGTACAGCAATTCTGCATAGGGTAAATGGATGCAAACGTTTTGCAGAAATTGCCCTGCTTCCTCTCAAAGTAAATAGCACTAATTTATGGAGAGCAAATTTTCAAATCATAAAGTAGAAGCACCTGGGCCTCTTACAGACCAACTTCATACAAGGTTACAGTACTGTACAGCATGCTACTTCTCAGAATAAAGGCTTCTAGGACCATAGATGTGTTTGAGAATGATCAATGGGAAAACCCAGAGAGATGGCTTACACAGATGTTCTCTATGTGGAATTTGAATATAAATTAAAATACCAGCTTATGCACTTGGGAAGCAGCCTTTAAATTCTCTAGTGCTTTTAATCATTTTTTATTTCATTTTATTAGAAAAAGAGGATCATTGTCTACAAACTATTTTCTTTCTAACTATGCAAATACAATGAGCAAATCATCTGCAATATCAAAATACTGCTTGTAAATCACTGATGGCACTAACAATTTTAGGAATTTGATAGGACAGAGTATTGAGAAAGACCAACAACAGATTTCAAATTATAGGCATTAACTGAATTTTAAGAATAGAAAATAAAATTTAAAGTTTAAAAGTCAGTAAGTTTAAGTTCTCTGACTTTTAATAATTTAAGCCCAATCATCAAGAATTCAGAAGCACCCAATATGTTCAAAGTTGCACAAACGGGTACAGATGATAGAAAAGTAAGCCCCATGCAATGTTTTAAGTGTTGCTATCAGATATATTTAAGTGATACTTTACAGATTAAAGCTCCGTAAAATCAAAATATATCCTCCCGATTACATTTTAAAACAGTCACAATAATTTATCAACAGTTGCCATTTCACAGCAATTAGAAAACAGGAGTTGATACAAGGTGAACAAAAAAAGTACTTTTTCCTCTTTTAGGAAATAAACGTATGTATATATACACACACACACATACACACATAACGTCATCTTTTAAAATTCAGAGTGGTTAATTTGCTTTCGTATTATATATATATATAAAAAAAATCCCTATGGTCAAAATACTGAAAAAGCGCAAAAGCTGAAAAAAGAAAACCACATTTGCCACTTTTAAAAAATACATTATTGTCTCAGTGGTTCTTTTTTTTTTTTTTTTCTTCTAAAGTTAGGTATTATGAGGACTCTGCACTCATCAGACTCCCAGGACTGTACTGGGCCAGAAGGAATTCAATCTAACCCCTTCTCCGTCTCCAGGAAGGATACTCCCTAACCCATCCTGCAAGATGATAGAATACATGCCTCTCTTATGAACTGTTAAACTGGGAAAGAAAACATGCCCACCTGGAAGCAATCTAAGTCATAAAAGTTCATGAATCTGTGGGAGAGACCGCCTGAATGAGAAAGCTATTCTTTGGATATAAGTTAGGAGCTTCTGGAAGTATATAAACTCTTTTAGGTCACTAGAATACGGACTTAAAAAATGATGTCTCCATATATACTGATTACAGGGGTTGGTAAACTACAACCCCTGGTCCCTAACTGGCATGTCACCTGTCTTGGTAATAAAGTATTATTGGAAATCAGCCGTGCTCACTCATGTAATTGTTGTCTATAGCTGCTTTTGTGTTCAAATGACAGAGATAAGTAGTTTGAAAGAGACTGTATAGACAGCAACGCCTAGAAGAGTTACCCTCTGGACCTTTGTAGGAAGAGTTTACTGAACCCATGATGTAGGGCACCACGTGTACTCTAGTTTCCTAAGAATTAATGCACCTCAAGATTTTAGCATGTCCTCCAAGAATAACCTGCATACTGGGGGCTCCTTAGCAGATTAAATGTCAAACACCCCACCCTTGAAGTGGTGCTTGCCTTTTGGGTGAGGGAATAATTTGTATAGATTTTCAATAAATATCCGTAAAAGTTAATAAATACACACACACGAAAGAAAGCCAAATAAGGAAAGTATGCCTGTCGATGTTCTCTTAATGTTTTCCTATTACGGGGGGGTGGGGTGGGTACTAAAACGATTCTTTCTGCCAACTTCCTTCAGCTTTTCTTTAAATTCAGTGGGTTTATTTTTGGTAAGTCATGCTCCCTCCTCACCTCCCATACAATTAATAACCTTTAAAGCAGCCTGCCTAAAAATGTTTATTTACCTAGTTTGGTGAGGTCTTGTTCAGGAACAGTATTTATTTAAACTAAACATAGTAAAGATTATTCTTTTAGAAAATATTCCTAAAATACTTTATCTGTTACTCTAAGAAGGGTAAGATGGTACAGGGAAATTAAACTCTGCAAAATATATCTTAAAAACCAGAGGTACAAAATAGCTACCATTTCTGAATGGTAACGTAAAATAAAAACAGACCAATCTCTCAAATTTGAAGAGCATATTTTCTCCTGCCCTGAGTCAGCTAATGAAGTCTTTTTCAAACAGGGAACCTCCTGAACTCAAGCAGCTGTTCATGAATCTTTAAGAGTTCACAGGTGTTTCGTATTTCCATAGTTGTTGAAACAGGGAAGATAAAACAGAGAAGATATTTATCAAACACAAATTTATACCAAAATTAACCATTTTTTTCCACCAGCTTAGAAGGGGACTTTTCCCTTACTTTGTTAAAAAATGAATGGTACGGAACTGTACGTGATCGATGTTTCCATCACCCCTTACGTTTCTACAGCGCATTAGCAGATTCCAAAGTGCTTTCACGTGCCGTCTCGTTTATTCCTCACAACACCCCTGTGAGGTAGGTACAGCAGGTATTAGTCTCCTCATTTCAAGATGAGGAAATTGAGGCAAAGAGAGGTTAAGTGACTTGCCCAAGATCACACAGCTGATAAGGATAAGTGGCAGAGCCAGGACCAGAAATCAGATTTTCTGACTCCTTGGCCAGTACTCTTCCCACTTGAATTACTGCCCCCAATTACGAATAATGTTCTGTGTATCAAAATTGAAAGGTTACTGAAGTCCATTTCAGTGATGTTTAACAGTAAAGTTAATTGAGAACTACAAGAACAGTAGGTCTGATGATTTTACTTGACATAATAAAACTGGTGCAAAACCACTTTTACCTAATTAACTTATAACCATTTGGTCCAAATACATAAAATATGCAATATTTACAGCATTTTCCTTTTCTTTTTTTTTTTTGTAAATGCAATGCTTTTAAAACACATTATAAAGCACCTTAGTAAAAATAGTCTACAAGTAAAAGTACAGAAGAAGTAGGAAAATCCTACCCATACCACAGCTCACTAATGGAGTTAGAATATGGAATCACCAAAATGTCAGTATATGCTCTACAAATAACCCATGGAGGAACAAATACTAAACTTACTTTTCTGACATGAAAGTGTGGAAGCCTTAACTAAAACTCCAGACAATGTCAACATTCCTTGAAGTGTCTCCCCAGTCTTAGATACTAGAAAGACATGAATCAGAAATACTGCTTTGACTCTTTTAAAATTGGTTTTTAACACTAATGATCAGTTTTTTTAAAGAATATTAAAACGACCTACATAAATGTGGGCAATTCCAACTACGGCAGAAACATTCTTAGCAAATAGGATCAAACATTCCAATAAATTGCATGAGACATGATTCACAAAAACAAAGCACACACTGCCAAACAGTAACACTATTCAGTAGAGGTGTATGACCCAAAACCTCCAGGTGAAGGCGGAAGCAGCAAATGGATTAATCTTCATTCATGGTTAGCTGGGGAAAAAATGTTTTGTCCAAAAGACACTATCAGAACTTAGGTTTGAAATTGTATTTAGCCTCCAATTAGACCCACTATGTGTTAATTTTAGGCGATGTGTAGGCTTTTTCCAGGCAGGAGGTTATAACTCCCACCAAAATTTAACCAGGAAAAAAGAAGAAGAAAAAAGAGGAAAAAGAGAAAAAGGCTGAAAGTGAAACCTCTGAGGCCACTGAAACTTACCAGTCAGCATCTACTTCCCAGGTGTTACTGCTCCCTAACTCGGCTCAACACACACTGTCTCTCACACCCATCAGCAACCCGACTTGTGGGGCTGAGGTGAAGACAAGGTTTAAGTTTTAGTTCAAGAACCTAACAGTCACACCTTGTACTCAGTTCGACTTAGGGTAAATCTTTTCATAGAAAAAGTTTTGTGTGAGGATGTAGAGGTCTCCGTCTTTTTCCCGTACAGCGTGGGCTCTGATGAACTGGAACTGCTCCAGGGCAAATTCATAGAACTCGTTCTCCATTTTCCAAATGTCAGATTGCTGCAGTTTTGCAATGGTTTGTTTAGTTGGGAGTTTCTTCTCCGTGGTTTTCCTAAGATGAGATTTCTTTCCTACTTACGAAGGAAAAAAAAAAGAAAAGGTGAATAATTCCGAGAACACACAAAAGAGCGATGCTTCTTTATGTGGAGAGATGGATTAAGTTAATGTGGCACACTGAAGGACGGTAACATAACTGTTTTGCATTAATATCATTCAGGCAAGACTGGTGCCCTAATCATACTAGAACTGTGATTTATTCCTTTATAATGTAAATTCTTAACCTGTTAGAGACTTAATGAGATGTCAAATAAGAAAAGTAAGGATCACCACTCAGTAAAGTGTAGGCTGTCGCCTTACATGCTGTTCTATTATCAAAAGCTTGGTGCTCTGACTAGTTTATTTTTTAAATATGATAAAATATCTCTTTTCAAACTTAATACTAATTTACCATAACCTACATTCTCCATGTGTAAGAAATTAGGGCATATGCATACTCTGGGAAGAGTTGCTATATTGGGTCTTACCAAAGAACAGGGGAAAATCCCACATTTAGATTGGACCAGAGCCCTGCCACTCAGCTATGTCATACAGTTGAGGCCCCTGAAGCACACTTTACCCTGGCAGACACAGCACCTGCTGATTATCATGGCTGGGACTCAGTTTCACCATCCCACCCTTACTCTAAACAGCATTAGGTCTAAACAGGTCTCAGGTGCAATATGGTCATAATGTTTCGTATGTGGCATTAGTTAATATGACACATTTCTAACGAAGACTGCTTCTGCAGCTTGTATCTTTCCACTAGTCCTACAATGCCTTCTAATTATCATCTAATGCATGTTTTATTTGCTCAAAAAATACTAAACGAACACCAGCTGTGTGCCAGGCCCTGTTTTGAATTGAAGATGCTAAGAAGGGGGGCCACCTGGGTGGTTCAGTGGGTTAAAGCCTCTGCCTCTGGCTCGGGTCATGATCCCAGGGTCCTGGAATCAAGTCCCGCCTCAGGCTCTCTGTTCGGCGGGGAGTATGCTTTCCTCTCTCTCTCTCTGTTTGCCTTTCTGCCTACTTGTGATCTCTGTCAAATAAATAAATAAAATCTTAAAAAAAAAAAAAAAGAAAAGAAAATGCTAAGAAGAAACAGGCAATATAATATACCTGCCTTTCTGGAATTATTTCTTGGGCTTTACTCAAGAAATGTCAAATCACACATATTTTTCAAGTTGCGAACAAAGTTAAGGACAGCTTTAAAAAGAAACCTGTCCTTTATATACCTGTCCGGTAGAGTTCTGTAGCGCCCCTGAAAAACCGGGGCAAAGCTGCCTCCAGCAACATGATAAAATCTTCAAGTTCTTCAGTGACTCCCACCAGAAAGTATTCATTAATTAGGTTATACTTGGCTTGATCCATAGCCCACCTGCTTCCCACATTCCTAAATCCAAAGAGAAGGAATTAGAAACCTGGCTGTGAAATCTGCTACGTATTTTTTTAATGCCTCTGACACAACAGATTATGGAGAAAATAAACACACGTCCATCCAAAGCCTTAATGCCCTTTTATTAATGTCTCGGGAGCAGGGGAGTAAATTACTTGATTTCGAAGGTCCATCCCAGTTCTACGAATCTATGAAACATACTAAAGAAGTTAAATTAAAATCTCCTCACTAAAGTCCAAAAGACAATACCCTTTTATTGCTCTAAGGCAGGGGTTGGCAAACTTTTTCTGTAAAGTGCTAGAAAGTAAATATCTTAGGCTTTGCAGGCCATATGTTCTTGGTTACAAATACTTAACTTTGCTCTTGCAGTGTGAAAATAGTCATAGACAATAAGTAAATAAATGGAAATGGCTGTGTTCCAATAAAACTTTATTTCTAAAAACAGATGACAGGCCAAATTTGGTCTCTAGATGGTAATCTGCCAATTCCTATTCTAAAGATATGATTAAAAATTGAGAAGATGTTCTTCCTATACTTCCAGTTCTTGTGCTGTTATTATGCTTTGATATAATCTATTGATTATATTAACCCTTAAGGTCCACATTGATCCAGTAATATGTCTCACATAATGAGCAAAAGAATAAAGGCATTCCTTGCATTTCTCATCATGGTTTTAAGGAAGACACTAACTTTGAATGTGTTCCTATTTCTACCTTTCTTATTAAAATGATTAGAATAAATATGTATAAAAATGTACCTTTTTAAAAAAAAACTGAAAATTCTGCACATTCTGAGGAAATTAACTTTTTTTTAAAGATAAAAAAACCTTTATTTTCCACCTCATATTTATTAGCAGACCAAACCACAACCATAACCCTGGCTTTTCTCAAAGTAAAAAAATCAGTTAACAGTAAAACCAGGTGAATAATTTACCCACTAAGCCTTTTCTTGATCTAAAATGAATGGCTAAGGGGCACCTGGGTGGCTCAGTGGGTTAAAGCCTCTGCCTTTGGCTCAGGTCATGATCCCAGAATCCTGGGATCAAGCCCCACACTGGGCTCTCAGCAGGGAGCCTGTTTCCTCCTCTCTGCCTACTTGTGATCTCTATCTGTCAAATAAATAAATAAAATCTTTAAAAAAAATAAATAAAATGAATGGCTAAAACAACAAGCTTAGGAGAAAATGAGCTTTATGAAATTATCCCTGGCCTCTAATTAGGAGATCTGCCAGAATATAGGAAAATATGTTAACATCAAAACCAAAAAACTATGAGGCACCTGGATGGCTCAGTTGGATAAGATTATGCTTTCAGCTCAGGTCATGATCTCAGGGTCCTGCTCAGCAGGGAGCCTGCCTCTCCCTCTGCCCCTTCCCTGCTTGTACTCTCAACTCCCTCTCAAATAATAAAATAAAATAAAATAAAATAAAATAAAATAAAATAAAATAACAAAAAATGAAAAAAAAAACACCCAAAATTAAAAACCAGCATCTGAGAAAACACTGCCAAGGATATGATGTATGAAGAATCTTTTCAATGCATTTAAAGGTAACTATAAAACTAGATTATTACTTAATTACATGTTATTTTTAGTCTGGTCTTTCACTAATTTCCCTATACCTAGCCCTTGACTGATATGTTCACACTTGTGAAACACAGATTATAGAGACAATAAAGAAGATTATCAACTTAAGCTAACTTTATGTCCCTACCAGCATTCCGAGCTGTGGCCACAGAAGAACGGGATTTGAAGCCAGAGCTTCTCCGGAGCACAGTCTGAGCCGCCCTCCGCCACACATTCATCAAAGGTCTGGAACAGATACAAAACAGCACACATGAGCCATAAATGCAGGTCTCACCTACAAATACCTTAACAGGTTAAGTTACTAAATACACACGCAGCAGCGGGTGGGATGAGCTAGTAAATTAAAGAGATAGGCGGGTTACAAAAACATACTTGAGACATTAAGGAAAGTTAGATTTTTTTGTGTGTGTGCCCATCTTTGTTTAATGCTGATGTATATAGAAGTTTTGTTTTGCTTTTACTGTACAAATTAAACCCTCCCCCACTCAGATAACAATTTGTCCTTGAGAATAAGTACTGGTTTATGTCGAATTTGTGTATTTGTACTTTCTAGCCCCCTTCCAAAGGAAATTAAATAAAAACAAGGCTAAAGATATTCTACAGGAAATAATCATTTGAAAAGAATATAAAGGAGGACTACACTGAAGTCTTCCCTCCTTTTCTCGATAAAACAAACAAAACTCATTGTACCAAGCAGAAATGACCTCAGATACTGATGACTTGTGTGCCCTCCTGTCCAGGGCATCTGACTGAATTAATTAAAAGGGAAAGAGACTCATAGGCTATGAATCTAAAATTAATCAGCTTCACTTCCTCAAGTACATACAGTCTGTCACAGGCATTTTAACAGCAGGCACTATCTATTTGAAATGATCCTGAGCTGCCAGAGAACACACTTGGGAGCTCTCGTTGTCCCGGTGAGACATCTACAAATGCCACCTATTACTTCTGAGAAGAGAAAGTGTGGAAGAGCAGAAAGAGCGCAAGAGCTGAGTAAAAGCTCTGGAGTTTCTGGAACCAGGTTGAACTTTATTTTAAGTAAGTCTTTAAGGACTCCAAACCTCAATTTCTAATCTATACAATTAGGTACACTCAAAGGGCCCTTTCAACCAAAAATCTATGAGAATAGGACCAGAAAACCCTTACACCTGGTGCTGGGTGGAGCTAGAGTGGAATGATTCTCTTTATTGTGGCAACATTCAAAAGACAACAGCAGACCACAGCCCATAATTTGCCCATTCCTTTTATAAATGACCTTCTCCATGATATAGCAAAAAGGTCTATAACTTGGGTTTGAATCCTGAACCCAGAATTAAATTCTGTGTTTGTTTCCTTCCCTAAGAAAGGAGGACATGATCTTACTTTGAGGAAGAAATAAAATCATAGACGTAAGAGAATCTACCACAGTTGACTGTCCACTGCAGGCATTTGATAAGGGGAATGTGTCTATGTCTGTGAGGGTCTCTCTCCCCAACCCACCTCCCTAATAGTCAAATACAATGTTTTGTTGTTTCTTGTTCTCCTTGACCTTCATGGCATCTGACCACCCTCCTCTTTCTGAAAATCTCTTGGTATCTCTGCCCCTACTGGATCCTTATCTATATCTTTGGACACTCCCTGTTTCTGGCTTTGTTGGTTCTCTGTGCCTTTGTGAATGTACTATCATTATCTCCTTTGAAGGCCTGTTTTGGTCCTTCCACCAGGTATGGAAATTTATCTCTGTGATCTTCTCTTTGCCCATTGCCTTCCTTAGCTTATTCACACTTCCTTCTTCCTTGGCTTCATTTGTAATTTCTAGGAAAAAGACGTCTAAATCTCTACCTCCATCCAGATCCATCACTTCTCATCTTCTAATACCCAGGATGCGTTTTCATTTGAATTTCCGATATTACTTCATGCTCAATACTTCGGCAAAAGGATTATTCTGTCCTTGTAATTCAGACTAAAGATCTCAGAACATTTCTGAATCTTTTTTTTCTCCCTCACTTAACATCAGATGAGGTAACATCTTTCCAATCCATCTTTCGTCAGTCTTGCTTCTATCAGGGTCCCACAATGCCATGTGTCTGTTCTTTTTTTTTTTTTTTTTAAGATTTTATTTACTTATTTGACAGACAGAGATCACAAGTAGGCAGAGAGGCAGGCACAGAGAGAGAGGAGGAAGCAGGCTCCCCGCAGAGCAGAGAGCCCGATGCGGGGCTAGATCCCAGGACCCTGGGATCATGACCTGAGCCGAAGGCAGAGGCTTTAACCCACTGAGCCACCCAGGCATCCCCCATGTGTCTGTTCTTATAATCACTTTCTAATGGGCTCCCTGCCCTCCTTCTTTCAGTTCCTTCAACCTGCTCTATACAGTTACCAGATTAGTGTAAGGAGTCACTTCTAACATCCTCTACTCAGAAAATGGTTTCCAATGTCTCAACCAAAAAAATCCAAACTTTTTATCCTGTCTTTAAGAAATGCTTCATACTCCGACCTCAAAAAGCTAGTTATCTTATCTCTATGTGTAACTTCCACGTTTACCAGATTAGCCTGTTTTGTAGTTTCTCAAGCATGTGATATATACCTTAAATCTAAATACCTTTGCTGATTACATTTTCTTCCTCTAAAAGTGCCTTCCTTCACCAATCTGGTTTACAAGAAGACTATCTTTCCAATGATTCTGGTCCAAAGTTACTCTTACCTTCTTTGGACTGGTATAGATGAACTATACTGCCTTATAACAGCCAGCTCTTAGGATGCAGTTATGTATATCTACATATACGTCTTTCTTTTTTTTTTTTAAAGATTTTATTTATTTGACATACAGAGATCACAAGTAGGCAGAGAGGCAGGCAGAGAGAGAGAGGGGGAAGCAGGCTCCCTGCTGAGCAGAGAGCCCGATGCAGGGCTCGATCCCAGGACCCTGAGATCATGACCTGAGCCAAAGGCAGAGGTTTTAACCCACTGAGCCACCCAGGTGCCCTACATATACATCTTTATCTGAAGAACTTGCTTCATGTATTTTTTTTTTTTTAATGTGTATTATGTTCTCTCTCAAGTCTCTGAAGGATCAAACAGTATGCATTAGTGTCCTCCACAGCACATAATCTATTGCCATACAAATTAGGCAATCAGTAGTTGCAAATGATTGGAAAGACACCATTTTCAGGGATTTTCATAAATATTAAAGGCACAGTTCTAGTGAAGATGAAGATAGAGGCAGGAACATTTTTTCATGAAGCATTCTGACAGTCCTTAGAGTTCTCTCAAATTCTCTTAGGATCTCTCTGTGGCTAGCTAGATACATATACCAAATTATAGATACACACACACACACATAAAGTGAAAACACCTCAGTTTACTCTTAAGACTCAATAAACCCCATTTCAGTGGCCCTAACATTATTTCTGAATTTTACAAGATGGTCCAACTTAGATGCACTGGCCTAAGTCACTTCATAAAAAGTAGTTTTATTATCATCTATGCCAACTTGTAGCTCATAACAATAAAAAAACCCGATGTATGTACCTATCTCTACCATGTTTGAATTTCCAAGAAATCTCAGGCTCAGTGACCTGAGTGATGATATACTAGGTTTCTGATTCCATGCCTACCCAATTTAAAGATCATCCTAGGTCACAGTGAGGTGCCTAAGGACTCAGAGGAAGTGCTCTGCTTCCTTACACCTCTATCTGATTAGAGTCCCCAGCAGAAAATAAACAAATTATTAAAGTGATTGTGGATGAACACACAATCTCTGCTACCATTTTGTGTGCATAAGATTCAAAGACATTGAAAAGATTTTGCTTAAATGTAAATAACTAGGATATTAAAATGATGCAGTATTAAAAATTTCCATAGTTACTCAACTTTGGGAATTTATACATCCACTACTGGAATAAAAACTGATTAACGAATAAGCATGCATTAAATTCTCTAGTCAGCCAACTCCTAATTCCTGTGCTCTTGAAGTGTTTTAATATTTCAAGTAAAACAATGTATACATAATCTTTAAGTATATTTCTGGCTAGTAGTTTAAATCTGCTAGCCCACTCGGGCAGTCTCCAAAAGTCACTTCCATTCTTCCCAGAGTCATGGAGTCTTAGCCTCTCTTGCAGTTAGGTACAGGCATGTGACTAAGTTCTTCTCAGTGGAATTAAAGCAGAAGTGATATGAGTAGGTTCTGGGCCTCTTGGTTAAAAAGAAATTGCTTGCCCTCCACTTCCTTCCTTCCCAACAGGCTGGAAGGCAGAAGTAGTGGTGACCCTAATTCAACCAAGCACTTAAGGACAACTTCCTAAAGAACAGCAGAATAACAATATGGAAGGAAAGTAGGTCCTTGAATAACAGTGTGGAGCAGAAATTGCTCTAAGAGTCTGGACCCCTCACTTTTAGGCTTTTAAGTATGATAAAAATGATCTAATTTAGGGGTGCCTGGGTAGCTCAGTAGGTTAAGCTTCTGACTTCAGCTCAGGTCATGAGCTCAGGGTTCTGGGATGGAGCCCATGTGGAGCCCTGTGTCCCTCATGCTCCATGCTTAGTGGGGAGTCAGCTTCTCCCTCTCCCTTTCCTTCTGCCCCTTTCTCCCTGCTCATGCTCTCTCTCTCTCTCTCTCTCAAATAAATAAAATCTTTAAATAAATAAAATAAATAATCTTATTTAAATTATTTGGGCTTCCTTTAGAAGCTTAGTATCTACTTTAATTTACCTAACAAATATTTTCTTAGACAATATAAAAGTAGAAAAATAGATTGGGTTTTGCTTCCTTTATCATTTGGGGAAGGAATTTTGCTCCTATCAACTAAAAGAAATAATCCAAATGCAGCCAGTAGCAAAGAAGACATGGAGAAAAGAAGAGACCATGAAATATCAGAAACTGGTGAACATACATGTGTGCCAGATTTTAGCATAACAGTAATTCTCCCTTTTCTACATGTATGTTTGATGAATAAAGTCAACCAAGTATTTCCTAGTGAGAGAAGCCAGATGAAGACAACTCAATCCCATCTTTATCACATACACCTTGATGATTCAGTCCACTAAGATCACCGAGATGACATGCTGCATTGACTCCCCAGCAGTGACATCAGCACTTGGGCTTCCATACCCATAACACTTAAGGCTGTCACTCAAATCCATGACCATCAAAATCTTCCTATTAGCCTTCTCCTACATTTTGGTCATATTTCAGAAATAGGATTTTCTATACATAAATATTTCTCTCTTCGAAAATCTGAAGTCCT